ATTAACTTGGCATAATACACGTGATTTGACCTGTTATGTCACATAATTGGTATATTTTCTTTTGAATTTTGCTCAGCTAAAGTGAAACAGGAAGTGACATCAAAGGGGAACTCTTTGAGAATGAAAACTCCCTGGTTTTTCTTTATTGAAACAATATTATTTGAACTAGGACTCTCTCATCTCTCTATGATAGTGATTAAAATAATCTAAAGAAACATCAGATTCTTCTCTTCAGTCTGTGTTGTTAGCCATTTTAGCAACACTCTGTTTACATTCAGACGTTCCCCTTTGACATCACTTCCTGTTTCATCACATGTGAATATCTCAACAACTGCTCATCTCAGCGGCGTGAAATCTCTTTTACAATATGTTATCAATATTATCTTTCCAAAAATACATTCATATTTATTGTAACGTTTTGATGTCACAGGCACTTTAAGCTTCCKGAGTGGTTCATTCCAGTTTTATAGAGGGGTTTCAGGTACACAACAAAGTGAATTAAATGGCTTAAAAAGTGGATTTTGAATGATATGAGCCCTTTTAAACTGAAATAAACACACTAACTCCTCTTGGGTTTGACACGGAGGACGAACTTCACCTTGTCGATCCTCTGTTCCATGAAGTCTAGCAGCACCTGCACCACTTCGATGTTTTTCCCGCCGTATTTCTCCTGCCCACCCTGGACAGGCAGGTCGATCAGCACGTCCAGGCAGGACACAGGCAGGTTGTTCAGCAGGTTGACGGCGTGGCTGGAAACACAGCAGCACAGTTTGATTCATACAAATGAAAACATCAGCCGTTCTGAACGAGTAACAGATAAAACACACAAAACACCAACAAATAAATGATCACAGCTTTGTATAACACGGAGTCTCCTTTTTGAAATTCTTCTCCTATTCAGCCTCGTTTTGTCTCATGCTCTCATTCAGGCTAACTACAAAAAAAAAAAACAAATAAAAGGCCGGTCAACAGGTCAYACTCTCATGACCTTCGCCGCCACCAGCCTGACAGTTCAGGAGGATCGTCGGTCACTTTTACTCAACGCTGTTTAAATTTCAGGGCTGCCGTTACAAATTCTTGGCATTCCGGCTTTAACCTCCCACTAAAGGAAGACGCCGCTGTTGGATTTTTGACGGCTTTTATAAAACTGAGGCTTCGCATCAAAGATGGAAGCAGTTAAGTTCATGAGGCGCTGATGCACTTTGTCAATCTGTAAAAGTAAAACTGTCCGTGTGAAGATTCAGATCAGGCTTTAACGAGCAGATTGTCGAGGAACAGACCTGTGAGCTTCCTCCGTTTTCTCCTCCATCTCAGTTTTCAGCATCAACAGGTGGCGTAGGATGGCAGCTATGAGTCGGAACTGATGGTCGTCCTCCTGTCAAACCCAACGCAGACCGAAAATTATTAAAACCGGTGAAACAAAACCAAACTAAAAAAAAATGAGCACATAGAGGCACAAAACAGCAACACTGAATTTTATTAAGGCAATAAAAGGATCTAATGAGAGACAACAACATAGAATACTGAGTAAAGTTTCTAGATATCTAACAGGACATCTGTAATTCTAAAAAAAAACTACATCTGATGCTGTTTGGACTTACACTCTGTTCCAAGCTGCACCTGCAGTTCAATTCTCCCTCAGTTAAAATGCATGAAAKATCACAAATATAAAACAAATTCATGGACAACGTGTTAAAGCTAAATGCAAAACACATTTGGTGATATCTTGAAACATGCACAAGAAAGCTTAGTGACTAATATTAAACAAAGATCTGCATTAGAGATTCTGTGAGGTTGGTTGTTTTGTGCAATTTAAAGTAGTGCCACCAAGCTCTGACTAAATATTGACTATAGTCTTTATCATRTTAATTAGCTAGCTTAATTACCCTTAATTAGCTTGTTCTGGTGACAACTTGATGGAAACTCTGGATCATAGAAATTACCAAGCTTTATAACAAATCCATATAAAATCAGCCACAGTTTCCTCTAAGCACATGCGAAGTTCTCTYTAGTAAACAAGTAAATAAATACATGAATACCAACTACACAGTGAAACAGATGAAAAATTATTTTAAGTATTATAGTTATTAAATTGTTACAATATGTTTTAAAGGTCAAACTAAGGTTTAGAATATTAATAATAAACAACTAAAATCATAATAATTCTGCTAAAGAACAATCAGCAAAACTGAGTCAGTTCTGAGGACTAATGTAGAAAAAAGATCCTTCTGACTGCAAAGAGAAAAGTTATGGTAAAGTAAAAGACAATAGCCTTTCATAAAATGAGCACCTCTCAAACAGTATTGGTGTTCATTATGCACCAAAACAAATCCTGTAAAACAGCTGAAGTTGAAAACTTAACTGCATGTTTAAAGGGGAAATTACACAGAATAAACCATCCCAACATTAACAGAAAGCTTAAAAGGTTTTGTTGTGGCCTTCACAATCTCCAGAAAACAACACATGTGCTTTTCAAACAAATAAGGGAAAAAATTAACAGGCAACAAAAAGTTGGCAAATTATACATTTGCCAAAAGTGATGCAACTGAAGTTACTAAATTTTCCTCAAGGCTTAAAAGATGATGACTGTATTACTGTTGAAATGTCTCATCTTGCCCTGTATGTCCCCAGGAAATCCCTTCCAGATTTCTGCAGTGGGATATTTACTAACTAACAGAGCCAAACCACAACACACTCACCTCATTCCGAGCTTCAGAGAGCGTGAGGTTGAACAGGGCTTTGAGAGCCTCCATCGCTCGCTCGTTGTTCTCCGCAGGCAGAGGCAGGGCCTGCAGATCCGGACGGGCAGCTTCGTAGGGACCGACCCAGTGCACGTCCAGGGTGTGCTCCAGCACCTCTGTCAGCAGTCTCACGGCGTGGCAATCTTTCCTCAGGATCCCTCTCACGTCAGGGCGGAGGGCGGACAGCAGGAAGAGGAGGCGCAGGACGAACAGGCCCACCTCGTGTTGCCACGAGCTGGAGGAGTGCAGGCTGGCGCACAGGCCACGGGCCAGCTGTAGGTCCACACAAACCTGCTGCGCTGCTGGACTGTTGTACACCACGTTGCACAGGCACTTCAAGGCCTCCACCACCACCATCTGCTCCTCCTCTGACTGCGAGGAGCCTCCCTGGTTGTTGTCAGCCTCGTCCCGCTCGGTGTGCAGCCCTGCCATCCCYGTCAGGACCAGCATCCCCTCCCTGGTGGCCACCGGTGCCAGGACGTGRTTGTCTCTGGACAGGATGCGGAGCGTTTCCAGACATGCCTTCTGACAGCTGGGCTGTATCTGCTTCCTGAAGACCATCAGTACACTCTGACACAGTTTCTGAATGGAAACAATTTGTAAAAGAGATTGTCATAATAATAAAAAAACAAAACACTGAGCATCCTTCCATCACCTGATTACAGTAGATAGGGTGTAGCAGGCTTACAATGCGCAGGGCTTCCTCCTTTTTGTCAAACTTAAAGGTCTGAAAGTTCTGAAACACACAAAAAAATAGRATRTGAATAAAAAAAATACAATCTCAAACCTCTCTGGAAAAAGATAAACGTTATTCAAAGAAACATAAAGTTGCTTACAACCGGGCATGGTTTACATACTGTGCATGTTGGTTCTGTAGACAGTGAAACGTGGTCCAGTTCGATTMAGTTTTTTATAAAAACTGTGTAAATATTAAGTCATTTGACAGCACCCGAATCTCAGCTCAGCTATCCGGTCTGATGTTTAGCTCTCCTAGCTAGCTAACTACTGCTGTTAGCGTCCCTGTTTGTTTATTTTGGRTGAAGGAAATCTGAGTAAAACCAAAAAAAGACGCGTCTTTACCTCTTGATTGTAGCGGTGCAGTAGCTTCTTCGTGTCTTCTTCGTTTGCAGCCTCAAGCTGCGAAAGGACGTCGTTCAAATCCATGGTGTGTGTTCCCTGCACAAGACGGTGAGCTAGCTCAGTTTGTCGSTSTTAGCTTAGCTTAGCTTAGCMTAGCTAGCGGAGGCTAAGCTGCCTGTGAGCTGCTGTCAAACAGGGAAACTCCCCTGACTGCCTCCATCTGAGCCCTCCTCATCCAGTCCAGCTGATAAATTGGCTTTAAATAAACCACAACACTGCGTTTGAAGAAACACACAGAAAGACTTAAATTCGTTTAAAAAACATTTTTGAGTTATTGAAAGTTTTTAATTAAATAACTTATTTGATCTCCATAGTCAAGCCTTAAAAATAATTTTGTTGATCTCCTGTGAGATGTCACGTTCAAAATGTGTTGTGAATGACTCTCAGCTACTACCACAACAAATTTTAGCTCAATCTCTGTAAAACTGGCTGAGTTGTTGCCATTTTTGTGTTTGATAATGTGGATTAGCYGTGGAAACCATCTTGAATTGGATTAACCCCAAAAGTTAAWGAGCTGTAGAGCTATATCCAATGATGACTTCTTGAAAGTTTCATTAAAATTCACCCATCAGTTTATAAGATATTTTGCTAACAGACAAAAAGGGTTAACTCCAACAGTTATTGCCAGAATTTTACGCAAAAATCCTATGCAAAGAGTAGTACTTAGAGTATCTGTTCAAGATCAGTCTCAACCACTACCATGCCAACTATTAGGTTAATATCTATAAAATTGACTGAAWTGTAGCTGTTTTTGTGTTTAATACTGACACTCAGCTGTGGCAGCCACAGTGAACTGGGTTGGTGTCAAAAGTTAATCATTTGCAGATGTACATCCAGTAATTGTTTCTTGAAAGTTTCATTAAAATCTATTCTGTGGTACATGAAATATTTTGCTAACAGGCACACAAACATAAGCAATCTGCATTTGCTTTGTTAAAAAACATCTACTGGTACATTATGTTGTATTGAATATAATGAAATACATCCAGTAATTGTTTCTTGAAAGTTTCATTAAAATCTATTCTGTGGTACATGAAATATTTTGCTAACAGGCACACAAGCATAAGCAATCTGCATTTGCTTTGTTAAAAAACATCTACTGGTACATTATGTTGTATTGAATATAATGAAANCCACAGTGAACTGGGTTGGTGTCAAAAGTTAATCATTTGCAGATGTACATCCAGTAATTGTTTCTTGAAAGTTTCATTAAAATCTATTCTGTGGTTCATGAGATATTTTGCTAACAGGCACACAAGCATAAGCAATCTGCATTTGCTTTGTTAAAAAACATCTACTGGTACATTATGTTGTATTGAATATAATGAAATACTTTGACCTTAGGCAAAAAGTTTAATTTTTGTTTATTTAATATTTTCTTCCATCTTCATAAAGTCGAGTGATAAGAGTGGGGGTGTTGTGCTAGAGCACAAAGAAATACATTTCAAAGAGGAGAGCGTCCTGCTGTGTTGGGGGTCATTGCACCTCAGTCCCATGACCTTTGACCRTCCACCCCAACCGTGGTTTTATTTATTAGAGACCCCTTCATGTTACATCTCATGCAGGACTATGGCGTCGGATGAAGAAGACTCATTTGATGCAAAAAGTGATTTAGTTGCACGACCTGAGTGTCAACATCAATATCCGCTAAATATTTCCTTTCTTCATGCAGCTGCGACCATTAGAGCATCTTTTATTTTAGGAAAAAGGTTCAGTGCACAACATTTTTAAAGTAGATTAAAAAGGTGATTTAAATAAAAACACTTTGTATTCAATTTGTTTTTCGAATTCCTTCAAAACTGAAAGAAAAATCCAGAATAATGTAAAATGTTTAGAGAAAAACAATTTTAGTTTACACTTATTTTTTGTAAATCTCTGTATTTTTAATGACAAACATTTCATGTTTCTGCAGGTTTTCACTTAATAAAATCTGTTTATTAATCAGATCCAACCCAGAAACTTTAAGCTTAAGCATGAACTGGCTGTTAGTAAAACAGCTCATGAACCACTGGGTGGATTTTACTTAAACTTTCATTTAAATCGTCTTTTAGAAGCAATACAAGATGGCCGCCACAGCTAATTGACATTAATACACAACTCAGCTCATTTTAGTTATTGAGTTGAAATTTGGTGTGGTAGTAGCTGAGAGTCATTCACATTTTCTGATTACACAAGACATTTTTTTTCCAAGGTTTGATCAAACATAAATATTGTCATAAACAAATGATAAAAAACAAAGACAAGTGAGAACAAGGAGTCCGTTTTAAACTGTGAAATTATTTATGGGGCAGAATATTTCCAACATACACATCAGTGATAGTTTAACCGTCACCACAGATGCTTTCCAGTGCTTTTATTTACAGAAAAAAGTGACTATACTTCATGTTACTGTACACTTTGATATTTTCCCTTTTTATAAATACCCATAGGGTAATAGGTCCTCAGTAGATTCGAGTGCATTATAAAAACACACAACCCTAAGTTAACGCGTTCATTACTAACCATACAAAACAGACAAGGTACCATTCATAGCATAGAAAATAAAAAGTACGTCAAGTTACAGAAAATACATACTTTATATATATATATCTATACATAGATACATATAGATATAAAGTCAGACAATCAAATACTTGTTTTGAAGAACTCTGTCATTAAAAAAATATCTAAAGATGAAAACACGTCGATGGTTCGTCACCTCAGATGCAGATATGTGGCGTCTCAGGAGGGTTAAGGCATTACAGCTCATTTCTGCACAGGGCTGAGCAACACACACGTATGACTGTTGTCGAATGGTATGTGTGTGTTTGTGTGTGCGTACCAGCTCAAGGGGAACTGACAGACGTGTACATTCCTTAAAACAAAGGCACAGCTTGGCAGCAGCATTGCACTCTTCAAATAATTTGGCTGCACGTTTTGACAATCTGATTTATCTTTTTTTTTTGTCAAGCTAAAGTAAGATTAACAAACTTCAGCTCAAATGAATCTTTACAAAGATCGGTGTAATTGTCAGTACAGCCTCCTCCTGATTGACAGAGACGTTGCAGCTGCCGGTTTTTCTCCTGTAAAGACGTCCGAAGCAAAGATTTATTTTTTAAGTCTATTTGGCCCAGCCCGTTGTGGCCTCCCCATTAATGTAGGCGAAGCCAGGAAAATGCTGCGAGTGTTCGTAGTCCGAGTTCCTGCGGGGCCCCAGAGGAGAGTACATGTCCCCGGAGGTGGCGTAGCGGGACGAGTGCATAGGTGGGCTGGTGTAACAGCTGCTGGCAGGGGACACGTCTGGCCAGCGGGGGGCGACGGGCGTGGGGTGCAACCGGGGAGTGCTGCCCATCAGGCAGGGCTCCATTCGAGACATCTGGCTGTTGAGCTGGTACTGAGGAGGAGAAAGAGTTATTTAATAATAAAAACTTTAATCTTTAATTATTTATTTCAAGAAGCAGATTAATACAGATACTAAACTTCCTGTCTGGCTTAAAGCAACAGCTCAGATGTCTAATTTGAGTTTTTTACAGCTGTTTTGCTCATTTTAACTTCTGCTTGTTTAAACTTTAAAGTTAACAAGTTATTCTTCAACAAAGTCACTCAGCTCTCAGCTTTCACATCACATTCTTGCAGTAAACTGTGATTTTTCTAGTCTGAAAATGACTTCAAAACAGTTGCTGTTATTTTAGACAAGATTATTTTAGACAGATTATTTTATCGGTAGCAGCTCCAGCTAGAATATCATGACATTTCTGCTGGAGAAAACGTGTAAAGCAAAACTGATAGACGTGTATTAGTTTATAAAATAGGGTTCATATGAAGTGCTGTGAAATTGTTGTAAGTAATCCTCTTCAGATTAGCAAGAATTAAACTCTATTTTCCCAAACTGAGGTAGTTCAAAAAGTTATCTAGAACAGGGAAGGTATTAACTGTTCTCAAACTTTCCAAGAATCGACCTTCAAGTGAAGCGTTACTTTAACTTTTAAAAAGCTTTAAAGGTGCCGTGAGTAAACCTGCATTTCCCTCCAAAAGAGGACAAAACTTCAGTTTAGAACAACAGAGTAATTTCCTGTCAGGGGAAGTTGCCTCACAAGGACGTGGCAAAATGGTCCAAAAAAAAAATAAGCCACTTAAGAAAATTCGGGACATACAGTAAGTAAAAAGTATTTTTCCTCTGTTATTTGCGTTGCCTGTGGTGATGGAACATGAACAGCACGACTGGTCCTGAAGCAGATGGGACTCTGGCAGAGCTTTCAGCTCCGTGTCCAACCTCCTGCATTGACAAAGTGCAGGCATTGTGCCCCATTTAAGTTCAAATGGGTCTATTAAAAAAGGAGAAAAAAAAAAGCGGAAGATCCTTTTTCCTTTTGCTAAATATAAACACGACAGTCGCTTCCATTATGAAGGACCGCGACATGGAAAAAGCCCATCAGTGCAGAACAGACTCCTCAGCTGCCTCTTGTTCACCAGCAGAAAAGAGACCATTGAATAACAATATTTTAATAAACGCCCCTTTGCCCTGATGCCGCTGCTGTGGCTAAAACAGACCAAGAGTCTATTGGGAGCTGGGAGGAGGAGGAACGGAGCAGGGAGGCCCCTCTTGGACCCGGACGAGCCACCTTTCACTGTCAGGGACTTCAGGCCCAGCTAATCTCCTCAACAGGAAATTACCACCAGAGTGGATTTACACCCAATCAGCCATCAAATCTCATCATTTTACACTCAAGTCTAAATCCTCAGTTCTCAAATTGTTCTTTGAAAAGAACAGTTTTGATGTTTAGGCCTTTCCTGCTCGCAAACACCTGATTCTGATGGTTTTCAGTACAACGGACTYAACTGAGTTTCTCATGTTCAAACATAAATCTGTTTGTTCTCATTCACAGATTTATGTTTCTTACAATAAAACCATCTGAACAAGTGCTGATTGAACAGCTCTGCAGTGTTAAACAGATAATATTAAAGATAATTATATGATTACTTTAATCTCTACACATAATGAAATTAGTTTCATTWGTCCAACAGCATAATGTGTTTCATTACAAATCATTAACAAAACTGATTTCATTTGCATATTTTTGCTACTTTTCATATATTTTGATTCATTTCTCAGCTGTAACATTTTCCACAAGATTTTTCATTTTGTTACATCTAGATAAAAATAGTTTGACAATATAAAATGATTTAAATGCTCCTTTTAAAAGTGGGTACTTCGCATGATGAGAACTTTTAGATTATTTTTAACTTTTTTGTAAGGTTCAGACCTCAAAACTTCTTGTTTTTCTTTTTCTGACACATTTTAAATCATTTCTTGACTCTAAGTTAATCTAGTCTAAACATGTTGCGAGTTTATTGTCTTTAAAGCTAAGAAATGTGTTTTTTCTTGTTGTTTCCTCTATATTTAAACAAAGATTAACCCAGAACGTGTCGTTTAGATAGTATAAATGTAGCGGCACTCCATCCCATTAATCTGAGTGTTTTAATTTATTATGTAACACGACATTTATAATAACTTAGATTAGAGAGCAGATATAACTGACTTAAAGCTGTCTTTTAAACCTCAAGAGTAAATGTGTTTAAGCATTTCAATCATAAAACTGCTGAGCCCTCCATGACTGACCTGTGCGGAGGAGCGGTGGTAGGCGGAGTAATGGAGGGGGGCGGGGATAGCCGGGTCGTGGCCCAGGCTCGGGTACTGGCTCTGAATGGAGTTGGGGTGCTGGTTGGGGTAACTGCCATAGTTGTAGCTGCCTGTGTACCTACAAAAGCAACAAGAAAAATGTTTTTAAAGCCCTTTAAACGCTTTGAAACGACTTTGAAAGGTATTTATTAAGTCTTAATTACCCGTATTCCTCCCGGTACACTGGCATCCTGTGGGCGGAGGACGGGGGAGGGACGGGGGCGCTGCTRCTCATACAGGACAGCTGCTGTCCCGTCTCCGGCGTGGAGCCACCTGCTGTTGTCACTGTGTATGTAAGGGACCAGGTATATGACTGAACAGCGCCTGGTGAACACAGAAATAAATGCTTTGGCTGCACGGTGTGAAACCTAACGGAGAGCCGACTTCATTCATCCGCGAGCGACTCCGGCCTCACCTGTGGAGGTGGCGCCGCTGCTGTACTCCGGGGACAGGGCGGCGGTGGGCGAGCTGGCCGAGGACACGTCCACGGATTGGACCGAGCGCGCGGGAGAGTAGGATCCGGGAGACGGGGAGGTGGGCGTTGTCTCTGTCAGCGTGAATTCCTCCTCTCGCTCCGCTGAAAGAGTCGAGCGACAACCGAACGTTAGATCATTTAAAATCAGAGGGGGGTTAAAGAGACGTTTTATTTTGAAGGACCTAAAGTACCGTCTGGATGTGAAAAATATTTATGGAAAATTAATGCATGCTCACAAAACTTATTAATTTGACTAAAAATCAAATATTTGAAAACCTGTCACTTTATAAACTTTACAATAACTAATCATTTAGAAAAACYTAGTTTATTATTACAGATTTATCTTTACAGTGTTTAATTAAAACATTTTTGACAGATCAGAGTAAAATCTTTAACTGAAGCGTAAACCTCAACAGTGTGAACTTTAAAACTACAAAATAAAAGGATTTATCATTTTAACTAATAATGATGATGATCGCTTGTTATCTTGAGACATGCATTTCTATTTTGTCCTCAAAATGTAAAATAAGTAGTTCAAAATGTGCATCTTTATTCTCTGAAGCAGACTAATGAACTTAAAACAAAATCAGCAAACCCCTAAAACCATTTCACTTTGACTAAAATCTGTTCAATACGAAAAATTTTTTAATGATGAATATTAATTAGTTAATTGGTAATTAATTATGTGTGATTTCTAAAACTAAACTATTACATAATTATTTGTTGTTTTTTTTTCAGAAGAAAGTGTTGGAAGTTCCTTAATTCATCAGGCAACAATTATTTTAAACCTCTGTATAAAAAAAACAACAAATGTTGGAGGCAACACTCAATAAACCTGCTGAAAGCTCCCACTATAAATAAAATTAGTTAACATAATAAAACATAATAAAAACAACCCTTGCATCAAATTAACTGTCATCGTGAGCGTATTACTTATTAAGATTTCATTATTAATGACTGTATTTGTTGGTTTATGGTAAAATAAACAATACTGTCCTGTAATACAGATTGTCCACAATTACAGACATAATAATAATAA